CTTTGGGCAAATTCAAAATATTAATAGTGAATAAGGCCTGATGTAATTGAATATGGGGGGTTACTCCCCCTTTTTGTTTTAAAAGCTGTTTTTTAAGGCATTGGTGGTTTCTCTCAGTGATTGCCTGCCCTTGAAGGTTGTGGGGGATTCCTGTGGTGTGTTTTGTATGCCATTGCTCAAAGAACTCTGCCATGGCCCTGCTGGTGAAGCAAGGCCCATTATCTGTTTTAATTTGTGATGGCAGGCCCAGAGTAGCAAAACACTGAAGGAAATGGGAATGTGCATGTTTGGTCCTTTCTCCCGTGTGTGCTGTGGCCCAGCAGGCCCCTGAAAAGGTATCTATTGAAACAAAAATGTACTTAAGTTTACCTAAGGGTCAGGCGGCAGTGGTGGCACACACCTTTAATCCCAGCTCTCAGGAGGCAGAGGCAAGTGGATCTCTGTGAGTTTGAGGCCTGGGCTACAGAGTGAGTTTCAGGAAAGGCGCAAAACTACACAGAGAAACCCTGTCTTGGAAAAAAATTTTAAAAAAAAAAGTTTGCCAAAGGGCAAGAAATGAGTAACATCAGTTTGCCAAAGGACATCTAGCTTCAGCCCTCTAGGTTTGACCCCTGGTGTCTGCAGGGGAGGCACCCTGAGAAAGGGCTGGCAGGTCTTGCAGGTATGTACTATTTTCTTGAGATCTTTAACAGGTATGCGAGGGAACCTATGTTGCAAGCCCCTCCAATTAAGGTGGGTCAGGCCGTGCAGGTTAGTGGCCTCCTGTAATGTAAGCATTTGGGTCCCAGAGGCCAACTCATTGACCCAACTATTTCCCCTAGCCAAGAACCCTGGAAGCCTGGAGTGCCCTCTCATGTGTGACACATGAATGGGATGCTCCCTCCCCTCCAGCAATCCCTGAGGGTCATCATTAACAGAGAGATAGGGTTTGCATCCAGGCAAATGTGTGCCTGGGACAAATGTGGTAGCAAATTCATCACATACAGGCTGTCAGAGTATAGACTGAAAGGCCCCTGGACATTTTGAAGGGCCAGGACAACTGCCAACACTTTCTTATATTGTGCTGATCCCTGGCAGGGTTGGAACTCCCGCAGGTCTGTGGAGTCCTGATCATCTTAGTAAATGGCGAAGGCCGAGCCTGGTCAGCTCCCATCTGTGAATACATGAAGGGCATCTGGGATGAGTTCTGGTGGGAACAGTTGAGGAAGCTTTAGCGGGAGCCTCCAGAGCATGACTGTCCATAGGGAAGTCCCATAATGGCAGCCAAGGGACCCCAAGAACCCTTAAAGGGAGAGTGCAAGCCGGGCATTAGCTCTGGAAAGCCATTCCACACCAGCCATCCAAAAAGGGAAGACAATAGATTGAGGGTCAATTCCAAAGTGTCTCTGGGCTTGTGTCCTACCTCTGATTATAGCATCCGCAAGCTGATCAGCCTAAGAGTACACTCTCGGTGCGCTCCCCAGGAGGTGTGGACCCATTCTGTAGGCTCTCCCTCCTGTACCAGTACCTCTGAGATTAGGGTGGCAGTTGTGAATAACCAGAGGGAGGTGAAAAGATCAACAGAATATCTCCTTAGGGAGACCTTATCAAAGGTCTCCTGAATCTGTAGGAGAATGGCCCGGTGGATGCTGTGGGATGGTCTGTATATCAAGTGTGTTGCTAATTGGTCAATAAATAAATCACTGATTGGCCAGTGGCCAGGCAGGAAGTATAGGCAGGACAAGGAGGAGAATAAAGCTGGGAAGTGGAAGGCTGAGTCAGAGAGACACTGCCAGCCGCCACAATGACAAACAGCATGTGAAGATGCCGGTAAGCCACGAGCCACGTGGCAAGGTATAGATTTATAGAAATGGATTCATTTAAGCTGTAAGAAAAGTTAGCAAGAAGCCTGCCACGGCCATACAGTTTGTAACCAATATAAGTCTCTGTGTTTACTTGGTTGGGTCTGAGCGGCTGTGGGACTGGCAGGTGAGAGAGATTTGTCCTGACTGTGGGCCAGGCAGGAAAACTCTAGCTACAGGTGAATGTTCAGGTGTGAGGACAATGATACCCTGAGGTTTCTTGCCTTTCAGCAAGGAGAATAAGGGTACAAGGTCCTCTTTGGAAATGGGAATCCAGGGCAGTAACCTGGCAGTAATCTGGCAATTGATTTCTCCCAGAACACTCTGTAACTGAGTTGGGATCAAGGATGCAGGGACATACATCTATCTTGGGCTTAAGTGTGCATGTTTGGGTCAGAGTAAGGTCTGCACTAAGAATCTTAAAGGGTGCCACCCTCTGAACTTTGTTGGGGGCTACTGTGAATCCTTCTTTCTGTAGTTGTTCTAGCACCTGGTGTACCAGATCTTGTAAGTGAGAGGGGTCCCTATGTCCCAAAATGATATCATCCATATAGACATAGGCAAGTGACCCATCTTTCCTTAGCAGGGGCCCCAATAAGGTGGCTAGATATTGTTGACAGAAAGCTGGGCCATTGGCCATTCCCTGGGGCAACACAGTTCACTCAAACCTCTGATCAGATTGAGAAAAATTAAGGGAAGGAATGGAGAAGGCAAATTTAGTCATCTGGATGGAATAGAGAAAAAACAATCCTTAACATCTATTACCACCAGGGCATACTCAGCAGGTATGGCTGGGACCCAGGGCAAACCCCTCAAAGGGGTGCCCACCAGTTCCATCCTTTCATTTACTTTTCTTAGGTCCTGCAGTATACGCCAGGCTCCAGAGGCCTTTTTGATGACAAAAACAGGTATATTCCAAGGGCTCATAGAAGGGTGTACATGCCCAAGGTCCAATTGTTCCTTGACTAGAGTATGAAGTGCCTCTAACTTAGGCCCAGTATTCAGGGTCCGACTGCTAAGTCCCAATGAGGGGGCACCTCCTCCTGGCAGATTACTGTCCTGTCAGCTCCTGTATCCACTAGAAAGTGGAACCTTTTTCCATCTATGACAACACTCATCTTGGGGCGGTGACCTGGAATCCGGGGAACTGTCCAGTTGGCATGGGCCACTCTGGAGGGTTGTGCCCAACCCCTCTTAAGGGGGGCTCCTCCTTTGGTTGACGGGGCTAGAGGGAGCCCCTGTTCTAGTTTAAAGGCTTCCCATCGGTATTAAACTTTGATCTACAGTCCTTTCTCCAATGATATCCCTTCTGGCACCTAGGGCATGGGGTGGAGGCGAGCTTTCGTCCCCGAGGTTGACCTGGGCCTTTCTGTTGGCCAACGGGGGACTGCAGCAATGGACATTCTCACTTGAAGTGCCCCTCCTGGCCGCATCTAAAGCAGGTCCCTAGGGTTGCTCAGAGTTGATTCTATCCTAGACCAATATTCTTGTGAATTGGTTGCTGAGACTCCCAGCCAGGAGCTTGCGATTAATGCTCTGCTAGACCCCGTCTATAAACTCTGGCAAGGTCTCCGTGGGCTTCTGCCTGACCCCTGCTATGGAGGATTCCGTGGGCCCCTCATCTAGCTTGGCCAAAGCCGCCAGCCCCGCCTGTCGGACCTGGTCTCTGTATGGGCCTGGGACCACAGCCTGCTGAATTCCTGTGGAATATCTTTCAGCTGTCCCTGCCAACATGCCATAGGTAATTGGAATTGCAGGCTGAGCAGCCTGATTGGCTTCTGCCCGCACCCTATTGTAGATGTAACCGTCTTGTTAAATAAGAAACACAGAGCCAAATACAGAGTTAAAAGCCAAGAGGTCAGAGCAATAGCTAAGAGCTGAGACTAAAACCTCCTTACCCTTCCTACCGCTGCTGTCCTCTGCTCAGCCAGAGCAAGAGCACTACTTCCCGTGTATCTGTCTTTTTATAGACTTTCTGTTCCCTATATTCCTCCTTGTAATGGGCATACCATTTAATGCACTGGGTGCTTGAAAGGCCAGCCTTAGCCAAATCTAGCCAGTCCTTGGATACACAGGGGTTATAGGCAATATCTTGCAACAAGGTCTGGGGCCAAAGGGAATTTGGACCATCCTCCGCAGCTGCCTTGCAGAGCTCCTTAAGGTCTTTGGCCTCCCACTGGTACCATTCCTGAGGTCTATTAGGATCGGGAGCCAAGTTGACAGGAAATGCCTGGGGGGGGGGGGGGGTTGAGTCTGTTCCCTCAGCTCTGTGACCAGCCCTCCCTTGGGTCCTATGTGGATGACATAGGCCTCCAAAAGCACAGGACCACTGGCCTCTTGTTCCCCAGGCGATGGCTTGCTGTGGGGGTCATAGTCATGCAGGTCCCTTCTAAGGGCCATATATGGTGAGGTTCGTTCCTCTACATTGGGGCATACGGTGGAGGGCCTTGCTCTGTTGGGGTGCATGACTCAGAAGGTGCAGAGGGAGAAACTTTTACTTCTGCTTTAACTTCTATCATGCCTGCCTCCATACCATTAGCACCCTCCTCCTCAAACTTAGCCCACTCTCCCTCTCCCTCTCTTCTTGTTTTCTTTATCCTCCCCAGTCCTCCCCATCATGTGGGAGTCCTCCTTCCCTTTCTGGGTACTTGGAGGAGTGGGCAGGGAGTCTGATGGAACATGGCCTTAAGGGCAGTAACAGTGGGATAGAACCCCAACGGTGGTGCTATATCAAAATGTTTTTTCCTTTCTCTGGCCAATCTTTCCACTCTGTCCCAAGTGCTCCAAGAAAAGAGATTAGCACTGGGCACCCAGGGTGCTAGGAGAATGATAGTCTCCCAAGTAGCGATGGCATCAAGTTCAGATATTTCAAGCCCCCTGGACCTGAGCATGTAGCACAGGGCCTTGAGAGCTGGCTTTTCCTTTGGTGAGATTGTGTTACCCATACTGAGGGTTTCACTTACCCTGGAAGACCTCACTTACTAAGGAAGACCTTACTTCAAGCCCCATGTTGGGCACCAGCTGTGGGGTCCTGCCCTACTGGGAACTTAGGTCCCCCAAGAAGGGAGACCTGGAACTGAGGAAAGGTAAGTGTGCTGCTCGCCCGTTCCCCAGCCTCCCTTTTACCCTGGAGACAATCAGACGCAGCAGGGAGCCAAGTCAGGCAAGGACTCATTTATTTTAAAATAACAAGCTTTTAAAGCATAAAGAAAACAAGATGGGGGAGAGGGTGAGCAAATGCCCCATTGGACTGATCAGCTTAAAGGTTACCCAATCACACGCCTAGTCTACAGTATTTACAGTGTTGTCTATGAGGGAATCATGTACCGACATCATCTTTCTTAATCTGAAGCTCCAATCATATTTTTTGTAAACAACTTGAGTTCCACCCTCTATACTCTCCCTCGGGGCCAACTAGCACCTGGCTCCATAGGCCCTTCCCCCACACATTCTCATCTTTTTTTAAAGTATTCCTTTACTGAGCCAAGAGCCCACCAATAACCAACAAACTAAGGATTCACCTGTTTCCCCATCTTAGCCCCCTACCCTTGTGCTAGGGTTACAGACTCATACACCACCCTCAGCTTTTATGTGGATGCTGAGAATCTGGGATCATGGCCTTGTGCTTGTGTGGCAGGTACTTCCTGAGGAATTTCCTGAGCCCCCAATTTAGTTCTGATTTGCATTTCTCCGGTGGCTAAGGGCAGTGAACACTTTCATGGTTACAGACCATTTCCACTTCTTAAGAACTGTCCATCTGCACAAACAGATTGGATTATTTGGTATGGGTCCCCCATTTGGTGTTGATTTTTTTGTTTTTCATATATCGTGAATATGAATATTCCATCAGATGAATAGCAAACATTTCTTCATTCTGTAGACTATCTTTGCAGTCTATTAACTTTATTGTGCTTAACCTAATTTTGTGCAGACCCACTTCTCAGTTCTTGCTTGGCTTTCCTGGGCTGCTGGAGTCTTAGTCAGTACTTTCATGTGCCTGTATTGGTAACTATTTTCTCTTCCCTGTGGTGGGTTTCAAAGTTTCAAGTAGTAAATTAATGTCTTTGATCCATTTTAAACTTAGTTTCATTCTTTGTGGGGACATCCAGTTTCCCCACCATCATTTGTTGAGGAGGCTTTTCTTCTCCAACAGTTGCTGAGAGTCAGCCATAGCTGTGTGAGTTTATTTCTGGGTTCTATATTCTGAAGTTTCATTCTTGAATCCCTGCACCCTTGGATGTTATCTATTGATGAGTGGCAATAGGTTCAATTAGTGGATAATGTTACTGTTCATTTTTGTTCAGTATTAGGAAGTTGAGTACATCAACATTCATCTGTATATACTTTCAATTATTTCTTCTTTTCTTCTTCTACACCCCCTCCCTGCCTCTCTATTTATGTAGTGCTGGGATAGAACCCAGGGCTTTGGGTATGTTAAGCAAACACAACTGAAGGAGCTACTTTCCACACCCTGTTCTGTCTTCTTGATGTGCCCTTCATTTATAGTGACTTTCTTTGGTGCTTTTCTGAGAAGCTATCTTGAAATCTAGCATCTGTCATTCATGAAGAAAGCTACACCTGCTTGCTTTTATCTTCTATTGAAGAGCATATTGTTTCCCATTCTGCCACTTTTAGTCTCTGAGATTTGTCAGCGAGGTGTTTCTCTTGTAGACAACACTTGGATCATGGTTTTGTTTGTTTGTTTGTTTTAAAGATTTTCTGCAAGTTTTGCCATATGCCAGAAGAGGGCATCAGGTCTCATTATAGATGGTTGTGAGGCACCATGTGGTTGCTGGGAATTGAACTCAGGACCTCTGGAAGAGCAGACAGTGCTCTTAACCTCTGAGCCATCTCTCCAGGCCTTGGATTGTGTTTTTAATTGAGATGTTCAAGTCATTAAAAATTTGGGCTGAGAATTTGCCCATTTGATAGTTTTGTTGGTTTTATTAGTTCTTCCTTTTTCGTTCTAGAGCTCTGCTTGTTTACTGAGTTGGGCATGGTCTATTTTATTCTCTCCTGGTCTCAGTTCCTCTCATGGAATTTATCCTTTCTTGTGTTCTCATGTTTGTGACTGTTTCTTCCTGCTCTGTGGGTTTCCTTTGAGGATCTTCAGTGCTGGCTTAGTGGACATGAATGTTCATGCTTACTTGGAAGATTTGACCATCTTATTTTCATTTGTACTGCATAACTTTATTTGAAACCAATTTTGACTGCTCAAAGAGTAAAGTTGAAAAACAAACAGAAAACAAACAGCCACAGTCTTATTCTGTTCATTCTAATGGCAGAATGGGAAGTCTGCTGGGTGCTAAACAGGTGATTTGGGGGCTTGAGAAAGTCAAGGAGCCTTGTCACTGCTACTGTAATGGTGATCAGTGGCCTTCCTGAAGGAACCCACCTGTGACTTTCTTATTTCTTTGGTGTATTTAGATGTGAAACTGCTGGATCTTCTACTCTGCTCTAATCAGGAGAGAACCCATTACAAAGTGTCTCCTAGGATGGCTTCCCTCTACTTATACCAGCAGCTAGTGAGAAAAGGAAGAATAATACCTCATTTCTCTGGCATCTGCAACATTGTGTGCAAGTCCTCCCTGGTTGTGCGACACCAAATGTGGGTCCTGGGAATCAAACATCTTCCACAAGAACAACAGATGTTCTTTTTGTTTTGTTTTGTTTTTTCAAGACTGGGTCTCTCTATGTAGCCCTGGCTGTCATGAGACTAGCTCTATAGACCAGGTTGGCCTGGAACTCAACAAAGATCTGCCTGCCTCTGTCTCCTGAGTGCTTTAAATTAAAGGCTGTGCTACAGTCCCCTGGCTAGCAACAGATGCTCTTAACTGCAGAACCATATCTCTAGCACCTACATTGGTATGTATTTCAAGTATAGTGTCAGACTGTTCAAGTTTACCAAAAAAATTAAAGGAAAAATTTTTATTTGTACTTTCAAAAGGTTTTGGATATGATTATTATTTTTTTTAATTTTAATAAAAAATAATAAAAAACAAAGTAGCTTATGTTGAACATAAGCTGGCCCAAGGGAGTCACATTCACGTCAGCAGGGTTTCTGATCACATGAACTGTCTCCTAAAACAGGCTGTCTACAGCTTCTCAATCAGCACAGCAGAAGCACCTCCTCCTCCATTGCAAATACTGGCCAGACCAAATTCTCCTTGCTTCAAGGCATGAGCCAAGTGAACAACAATCCGGGCTCCAGACATCCTAGGATCAAGAAAGCATTTGGTTCTTTAATGAAGGACAGAATTTAGGACTAATGAGAAAACTTCTTGAAAACCTTATTAGCCAGAACTTGTGGCTGAGTTAACTACTTCTAAGTTTAGGAAATGAGTTTCAGGAAGAGGTTACAGCTCTTAGAAAAGCCTGGGCGTTAGTTTCTTTACTGTTCAGCACCGTTATGTCAACTTGACTTACGCTAGAGCTGTCTGAGAGGAGGGAGCCTCAATTGAGACCTCCATAAGATCAGGCTGTAGATACGACTAGGCTACTTGCTTAGAGATTGATGGGGAAGGCCCAGCCCATTGTGGTAGTCCTGGTTCTAGAAGAAGGCAGGCTGAGCAAGCCAGTAAACAGCACTCCTCCTTGGCCTCTGTATCAGTTCCTGCCTCCAGGTTCCTGCCCTGTTTGAGTTCCTGTCCTCACTTCCAACCCTTTCCTCCCCAACTTACTTTGGTTGTGGTGTCTCGCAGCAGTAGAAACCCTGACTCTGACAGTTAGGTTTCACGCTGCAGATGTGCTAGGTCTGTGTCCCTGCTGGATGTTATCTATCAGAAATATGTTCATCTTAAAGATGGATGGGAAGGAAAACTGCTAATCAAAGAGCAGCAGGAGCCATGGGGAAGCAGCTGAGAGAGAGAAGCAGCTATTAGCTTAGGGGGGATTATGTGTATGGTACTCACCCGATTGGATGGCCCAGAGAAACAGCTCCCCCATGGATATTCACTTTTTGGGGATCAATCTCCAGCATTTTAATATTGGCCAGTACAACCACACTGAACGCTTCATTTACTTCCCACATGGCAATGTCTTCCTTTTTCAATCCTGCATATTTAAGAACCTAAAGATAAATTTCAGAGATGGTTATCCAGATATTTTCTAGAAAATTTACAGTTTTGGTTTATATTTCCCCTTGATGTAGTTACTTAAATAGGAAGAGCTTTTTTTTTTCTTTTTGGAAGCATTTGTTTTCAGATTTTGCTTTTCTCTCTGTATTATAATCAGAATTTTGTTTGCTATATGTCCTTAAGATCTATCTTGCTGGCTATATGTTACTTAGTTCTATATTCTTGCAGAGTTTTGTCTGTTCCCACATGTCCCCTCAGTTTCTTTAGAAAAGCTGTGAGATTATCTCAGGCATACTCCTTTCTTTATCTGTGTTCTATTCTCAGATGTCAACTCTAGCTGGATGAGATTGTACACACCTCCAATCCTAAGATGCTGGAGTATGAGGTGGAGGATCTCAAGTTCAAGACCAGCTTAGACAACATAGCAAGACCTTGTCACACAAAAGGTCAAGGTGAGGACATCACTTGCAAGCATATATTTGCTGTACACATCTGAGATCTCTGAACCCCTAAGCATCCTGAGTATCTTTCTTTGCCTGTGACCTTAATGTCTTCCCATAGGCTTGGTAAGTCTGCCTTTGAAAGCACAATCAACAATGTGGGTACTGAAATCTTGATACAATAAGCCAAGCACAAGTTAGCAAAATGGTTATAGGCCCCTCAGCTTTTCTTACCTTGGGTACAGCATATGCAGGTGCAACTGGAAAATCAATAGGGTCTACAGCAGCATCAGCAAATGCTGCAAAAAGAAACAACATTAAACTCGTATTACACCCAGAGATTCATCCATATCTATATATTATATATGTGTGTGTGTGTGTGTGTGTGTGTGTGTGTGTGTGTGTGTATGTGACTCAAAAGCAAAGCTAACGAATAAATGCACATAGACTAATCTCTATGCCATATGTGACTATATTTGCTATTTTTTATTTTTAACAGCAGGGTCTCACTATGTAGCCCTGCCCGAGCTGTAACTCACTCTGTAGATCAGGGTAGACTCATCCTCAAGACATGCCTGCCCTAACCTTCTGAGGGTTGAGATTAAAGGTGTGTACTACCACACCCAGCTATGCATTTGTGCTCCTTTTGTAAGATTCTATTCTTAATAAAACTGCACTAGTCTCTAAGACACTGATTTGCCCAGGCAGAGGTCAGAGACTATGGCGCTGTCTAGGACAGTGGTTCTCAACTCTCCTAAATGCTTCGACCCTTTAAATACAGCCACATGTTGTGGTGACCCCAACCATAAAATTATTTTCATTGCTACTTCATAATTTTGCTAGTTATAAATCGTAATGTAAATTTTGGTATTCAGGATGTCTGATATGTGACCCCTGAGAAAGGGGTGTTTGGCCCTCGGGGTTGTGACCCACAGATTGAGAACCACTGGTCTAGGAGCAGTTGCAAGCGTATGCTGTCCTACCAGAGGAACAGAGTTCGGTTCTCAGCACCCATATCAGACATCTCACAACTGCCTCTAACTCCATAGCCCCCATGGGCATCTGGTGGGCAACAGTGCCCATTCCCACATGCTGACACATACCTATACATAAATGTTTAAAATAAAAAAAATAATAATTGAGTTTGGTTGTATAACTTGGGTAGAGTTCATGAGGCTGTTAGTTCAATCCCAAGTACCACAAATACACCCAAGACGAGCTAATGCAAAGCTGAATGGGTTATAAAGCAAATTCTGTTTCAGGTCTGGACAGAGAGGGCCCAGCAGATCTGAAAGGTGAAGATGAGTGCTGACTTGACGGCTTACTCAGTAAAGTAGTCACTGTATAAGTCTGTAGACCTGAGTTCAATCCCTCCAATCCCAGAGAGGCGGAAGGAGAGAACCAACTCCACAAAGCTGTCCTCTGACCTCCGCTGCCCATCACACAGTGACTGATGTTGCTTCTCTCCGACCTCTGCTGCCCATCACACAGACAGTGACTGATGTTGTTGTCCTCTGACCTCCGCTGCCCATCACACAGACAGTGACTGATGTTGTTGTCCTCTGACCTCCGCTGCCCATCACACAGACAGTGACTGATGTTGTTGTCCTCTGACCTCCGCTGCCCATCACACAGACAGACAGTGACTGATGTTGTTGTCCTCTGACCTCCGCTGCCCATCACACAGACAGACAGTGACTGATGTTGTTGTCCTCTGACCTCCGCTGCCCATCACACAGACAGACAGTGACTGATGTTGTTGTCCTCTGACCTCCGCTGCCCATCACACAGACAGACAGTGACTGATGTTGTTGTCCTCTGACCTCCGCTGCCCATCACACAGTGACTGATGTTGTTGTCCTCTGACCTCCGCTGCCCATCACACAGACAGTGACTGATGTTGTTGTCCTCTGACCTCCGCTGCCCATCACACAGATGACAGACAGTGACTGATGTTGTTGTCCTCTGACCTCCGCTGCCCATCACACAGACAGTGACAGATGTTGTTGTCCTCTGACCTCCGCTGCCCATCACACAGATGACAGACAGTGACAGATGTTGTTGTCCTCTGACCTCCGCTGCCCATCACACAGACAGTGACTGATGTTGTTGTCCTCTGACCTCCGTTGCCCATCACACAGATGACAGTGACAGATGTTGTTGTCCTCTGACCTCCGCTGCCCATCACACAGACAGTGACAGATGTTGTTGTCCTCTGACCTCCGCTGCCCATCACACAGATGACAGACAGTGACAGATGTTGTTGTCCTCTGACCTCCGCTGCCCATCACACAGACAGTGACAGATGTTGTTGTCCTCTGACCTCCACTGTCCATCACACAGATGACAGTGACTGATGTTGTTGTCCTCTGACCTCCGCTGCCCATCACACAGATGACAGACAGTGACTGATGTTGTTGTCCTCTGACCTCCGCTGCCCATCACACAGTGACAGATGTTGTTGTCCTCTGACCTCCGCTGCCCATCACACAGATGACAGACAGTGACTGTTGTTGTCTCTCTCGACTCCCACTTCCATATTTGTTTTACCTGCAGCCTGGTGGGTAAAACATGCCTTTTCCTTTTCCCTACTCACATAGGATGGATAACAGGAGGTTTTTTGTTTTGGTTTTTTCATGACAAGGTTTCTCTGTGTTAACAGCATTAGCACCCTGGCCTACTAAGCAAGTTCCTATGTAGACCAGGCTGGCCTCAAACTCACAGAGATCCACCTGCCTCTGCCTCCTGAGTGCTGGGATTAAAGGTGTACACCACCATGCCGGGCATGGTTTTTGTTTTTAAATAATATCCTTTAAAAAATTGGGGGTGGGGGGTGGGCAGTGGTGGTGCGCACCTTTAATCTCACCACTTGGGAGGACAGGACAGGCACCCAAACTACACAGAGAAAACCTGTCTCAAAAAACCAAAAAAAAAAAAAAAAAATTGGGGCGGGGGGAGCTATTTTGTATGAGGGGGCACATGTGTGGCATGACTCCTGTGGAGGTCAGAGGACAATTAGTGGGAATGAGTTCTCTTCCTTCTACCATGTGGGTTCCAGGGATTCAACTCAGGTCATTAGGCTTGGCAGGAAGCACCTTTAACCCACTAATGTATTTTGCCAGCCCCTTAAATCATTATATAAAGCAGGTTTTAGCAAAAATATTAAAGGAACTTCTACCTCAATCAAAATAGAAACAGCTAACTTCATTACTATGTGTTACCAAGGAGAGACCCTATTTTTAAAACTAAAGTTGGAATGCAATCAAAGAAAGCACCCCAGGCCTCCAGAGGCAAAAACATACATTCACACACTTTTTTTGGTTTTTCAAGACAGTTTCTCTGTATAACAGTCCTGGCTATTCTGGAACTCGTGCTGTAGACCAGGCTGGCCTTGAACTCACTGAGATCCACCTGCCTCTGCCCCCCAAGTACTGGGATTAAAGGTGTGTGCACCCAGCTCACAATTTTTTTTTAATTAAAAAAAATAAAAACGGTCAAGACAGGCATTGTGGCACAAGTCTATAATCCTAGCCAAGGGTACTGTGGCAGGAAGATAACAAGATCAAAACCAGCTTGGGCTATAGAATGAGCTCAAGCCTGCCTGCATAACTAAGTGAGACCCTGTGCCAAAAGGAGGGCTGGGGATATAGCTCAGTGACAGAATACTTGATTAGCATGTGTGTACTGACTAATTTTATGTCAACTTGACACAAGCTAAAGCCATCTGAAGGGAGAAAAATGCCTCAATAAGATCAGGCTATAGGCAGGCCTGTAGGGCATTTTCTTAATTAGTTATTGATGGGGGAGGGCCCAGCCCATTGTGGGTAATGCCATCCCTGGACTATTGGTCCTGGTTCTGTAATAAGGGCAGACTAAGTGCTATAAGCCACAGAAATATGTAGTAGGAATTCAGCTGACTATGGCAAAGCTACTACCTGGAAGAGCCAAGGATTTTTCCAGAGAATAAAGCCAAGGCTCAAGGAGTATTGATGTTATTTGGCTTTTAAATATATCGGCTGTCTCCTGCAATAAATTTCATGTGTGCTATTATAGCTTCCCCAATTGATTCTTTTTCTTAAGAATTAACAGTGTGGATTGATCATTCTTTGGGCATAGTATTTCCCTATACAATTAAGATATTTGGATAACAGTCACACAGGCAAGGCTTCCTTCTTCCAGGCTTTGTTTCTCTTTTTTAGCATTAGAATCAGATATCTCCTTTAGCTAGCATCCAAGGCCAGGGCCAGCTCAGGACAAAAGCATTTTATCTGAAATACCTCTCAAACACTGAAGGACAAACAGCAGACAGAATAAGCATTCCAGACCACCTGCTAGTCTCCTGAATTAAGGTAAATATCCATACGGAAACACCACCTAGGCCAGGTGGACATTAGGTATATAGCTTTGTTTCTTGTGCAAATTAAGCTTTAACCCTTCTTAGAACAGAAGGGCTTTTTATATACCAGGTACATCAAACTGTGACACAGGCTGCCTAGCTACCCCTACCCTGCCAGAAAATGGCACAGCCAAGTTAAAACTCTAAAACTGAGACAGTTAAAACCCCAAAGAAAAGTAGACAGTTTTATTTTACTCATGATTTATACTAACATTGTAGACTCCTAACATTTTACCTAACCATGTCTAAGAATGTAGTTTGAGCACATAAATTCCCTTTTTCTGATATATTAATTGATTTTAGCTCTTAGTTGACCCCACCTCCTTTAACCACTCCCCTTTTGGGTTGTAAAAGAAAGCCTGGCAGTCACTGCCTGAGAAAAACCGCTTGTCTGCCTTTATGGCCCTGTAAAAATTCAAGTCTGAGTGACCTTCCCTTGGCCAGAGAATTGCTGCTTTGTATGGGTATATAACTGAAACACCTGAGAGACTTGAGGACTAGAAGACAGAGACTTGAGGACTAGAAGAGAGGATTAGAGGAACGAGATGGGGAAGAACTAGATGGGAGAATTACGACAGAATTTAGAGAGTACAGCAGAAAAACGTAGAGAGATATCATGCAAGAAAGGAGTGAAGGATGAGAACAGAATTGAAGCTGTGGAGATAGATTTTTGACTCAGAAGAACAAAGTGTATGTGTGCACTTTATAAAGAATAAAGAGCTTGGTGTACTTAGATTCATTTCCTCAGATTAATTCCTGCCACTGGTAGCATCTCTTCTGGAACCCTGGGGGACCTATTAGAGGCTGGACCCCAGTAGTCTTGCATAACTAAGAAAGCCATGAGAAGCAAGCCAGAGCAGTTCTCCATAGCCTCTGCATCAGCTCCAGCCTCCAGGTTCCTGCTTGAGTTTCTGTTCTGACCTCCTTTGATGATGAACTATAATGTGGGAGCATAAGCTGAATACATCCTTTCCTCCCCAGGTTGCTTTGGTCATGGTGTTTCATCACAGCAGTAGTAACCCTGACTAAGACAATGTGTAAAAAGCCCTGGATTCCCAATACCAGAAAAAGAAAAGAGGAAAAACAAGGTGAGAACATCTACCTGCAATTCGTGCTAGTGGCTTAACATTGAGCCTCTGGGCTGCATCTGCAGTCATGAGAACCACAGCAGCTGCTCCGTCATTCAGTGTGCTGGCGTTGGCAGCTGTTACTGTGCCTGCAATCAGTAAAACATGAGGTCACATTCTTCTCACTGAGTCCATCCTCTTCTCTCTCACAAATACCCACAGAGCACTGTCTGGTTGTTACATATATAGACACATTATAGATAGGCCTGGCGATAATTTCTGCCCTGGGGAAACATGCACAGAGCTAGCTCCACAGTGGATGTCTGCCACTCACTGTGCCTGGTGGGAGTTTAGCCGAGTTCTTCGGAGGTAGCTCAAGCATGTGGTGGTACTGGCATGTGGCCAACTCATGTTTCTTCTCAGCATCTCTGCAAAGCCAAACTAAAGCACACTATGCAGTTTCCAAATCCATGTCAGAATCAGGTATTCTCCACTTGAAGTTGAATGTCAGTGAATACTAAAAGCACTCAGCTATATACTTTAAATCAGATTTTTGTGTATAGAAATTGCCAATGGAGCTAGTTCAATATTGAAATGGAAACCCTGTATTAGTTTATTCTATTTATCTATCTATTTATTTATTTATTTATGGTTTTTCAAGGCAGGGTTTCTCTGTGTGTAGCCCTGGTTGTCCTAGAACTTGCTCTGCTCTGTCAACCAGGCTGGCCTCGAACTCAGATCTCCCTGCCTTTTATTTTTGGAGACAACGTCTCATTATGCAACCTTGGCTGACCTGGAATTCACAGAAATCCCCCTGCCTCTGCCTCCCAAGAGCTGGAATCAATGTGATGCATTACCATGTCCAGTTTAACATATACTTTTGTTTTTCAGGATTTTTTTCATGCCTCTCTCACTCTCTCTGTCTCTTCTTTTTGTTTTTGTTTTGTTTGTTTGTTTTTGTTTTACAAGACAGAGTTTCTCTGTGTATCCCTGTCCTAGAACTCACTCTGAAGACCAGGCTAGCTTCAAACTCAAAAGATAGGCCTGCCTGTACATCCTGAGTGCTAGGATTAAAGGTATATGCCACTACCGCCTAGCAACATGTACTCTTATAAAATGAAATTTTTATGATGCTGACAAAAAGATGACTGATCATTTCTATACTTAGAAGTGAGCAATTCTGTCAGGAAAGTGGGAAACTAATAGCAGAGTATTACAGCTGCACAGAGCCGACCCTGAAGAGCTCCTATTTTCTCAAAGTTGAGAGCTCCAAACCATTTAGAAATTCAGGGCTAAGCATGTGACTCAGTAGAATACTTGCCTAACATGTGAGTTCCTGTATTTGATTCCCAGGACACCCTCCCAAAAGGATATTCAGAACACAGACTCCATTTGTCCCAACATTCAGGATTAACATACGCTAAGTAAGGCCCTAAACACCAATGAACACAGCCATCTGCAGAAGCCTCAAGGAATGTATTAACATGTAAATGTGTATTTTCAATGCACAAATTATGGAGATGCCTGCCTGTGAAAATCAGTTCTCCAGTCATGTTAGATAGCTCCCCCCACTAGGACTTATATATTGAAGGTATGGACTGTTAAACAATTTACCTTGAATTTATATTATTTGGCTAATTTTATAACAATACAGTATTCTAAAAATGGTAAGTAACATCTAGATGTTTTCTACAATTACTTTGTTTCAATTGTTAGGCTAAAGAGACATGGTTCGGCAGTTAGGAGCCCTGGCTGCTCTTCCGGAGGACCCGGGTTTGGTTCCCCGCACCCAGATGTCCGCTCCCAACTGAAACTCCAGTCCCAGGGGTTTAGAAATCGTCTTCTAACCCCCATGGACACCAGGTACAAAGTGGTGCACAGACATACATGCAGGCCAAACCACACAGCAAATCTTAAAAAAGCATTAGGCAAATCCAAGAATAAACATTGCACATTAACCCCGTTTCTTCCTTCTGTCTGACTTCTTACCACTTACCATTCTCTTTCTGGAACACAGTCTTCAGCTTTGGCACTTTACTAAAATCAACACGCTTGTACTCTTCGTCTTCCTTCACCACCACATCTGGCTTACCTGAAATTGAGAGACTAAGTACTCACCCAGTCAAGACAACAAAGAAACTGAGACACATGGTACCTGGACAGGCTTTAGGCCACTCTAAACAAGTGTTCATCTAGAATGTGAAGCCTACGCCAACAACTCCCATTGTTTCCCAACCCTTTTTTTTTTCCTTTTGGGATGTGGTCTCTCTATGTAATCCTGGCAGTCTTGGAGCTCAGAATGTAGACCAGGGTAGCCTCAAATGCACATATATCCTCCTGCCTCTGCCTCTCAAATGTAAGTGCCGTGATTAAAGGTGTGTGGCTCCACAGCCAGTCTCTGTGATCACAGACCTCACTGTGATCATACAGTGTGTGTACTCCAAGGGTAGACGCCCAGCCAGTGCAGCATGAACCAGTGTTCACCTCCCAGGCATAGTGAACATGCAGGGAAGAGATTCAAACCAACTAATGAGTCTGTACCATGGATTTACCCCAGTGAAGCTGGGGAGAAGGTCTCTTTCTTTGACTCTGAACACAACACACACGGCTCTAGAGGCGGATGCCATTCATCCTTCATTTCTGGGAGGTAACCCTAGTAAGCTTCTAATATAAATTCCTTTGAAAAAATACTTTTTAGGGTCAGTGAGATGGCTCAGCAGACAGAAATGCTCACCACACAAGCTTGACAATCTGAGTTTAATCCCCAGAATCCATGTAAAGGTAGAAAAAACACACTGATTCTACAAAATTGTCCTCTGACTTCCACATGCAGGCCATAGAGCACACATGTGCACACACATATGCACACTAATAATAAATAGATGTAAGCATGGCTGGATAGACAGCTCAGTGGTTAAGAGCATACACTAGTCTTCCAGAGAACTCAAGTTTGATTCTCAACATCTACATCAGGCAACTCACAACCTCCTGTATCCCCAGCGTGGGACATCCAACACCTCAGGCCTCATCAGGCACCTGTACTTGTGTACATATCATCCACGCACAAAATAGTAAGAATAAAATCTTTTAAAAAATAAATTTAAGATACATCAACTAATGTGCTGTCTGTCACTTACATGAGAAAGAATTCTAATAAATACATTTTCTCGAAAACAGTAAGCACACAAGCCTGAGGACCTAACTTCAAAGCCTGGAACTCACATGGTGGAAGGAGAGAACCATCTCCTGCAGGTCACACCACAGCATGCACATGCCTCATAAGCATAAAACCAAAGAAATAAATGGAAAAAATACTTTATAGAAATAGTAAGCTTAGTGCACTGTGTACCTGGATGACCTGTGACCCTTCCCTTTATTAACTTAAGCAGAACTGTTAATATGTTCGGCTCAGATAAACAGAGAACACTCATTTAAAATGGAAACATCAGTTCTACAACGCAGAAAATCTATTAAAAGTAAAATCTAGTTGGGCAGTGGTGGTGCACACCTTTAGTCCCAGCACTCAGGGAGAGGCAGGCAGGCCTCTGTGAGGTCAAGGACAGCCTGGTGTACAGAGTGAGTTCCAGGACAGCCTAAACTACACAGTGAAACCCTGACTTGAAAAACAAAACAAATAAACCAACAAAACCCCAAACAAACAAAGTAAAATCTAAACAAGGAAAAAGCAAATGTCTAAAAACCTGAACTCAAAATTCCTATTTTGGAATGTTTCCTCTACCTTTTATTGAGACCGTGACAGGGGTAATTTCATTTGCAAACTTCCCTGCATCCCATGCTTCTTTACTTCTGGTGTAAGAGCTGATAGCATAAGTATCCTGTTCGCCTCGTGCAATATTCAGTTTCTTTGCAGTATTCTCAGCACAGTTTCCCTGCGAAATTTGAAAAAATTACCTTTGCATAACTCAATGGTTAGCGGTTTAATTCCATTTCTCTAAATTCCCTTCCTCTGTTCTAGGGGACTTCTCCCTTGTGTCCTGTCTTCAAATAGTAGCAGGAAAGAAACAGAAGTGCCATTTTAGGAAGAAATACCCCACTCCCACTCAAGTGTGGGGCAGCTTTTTAATAGGTTATCCACACTAAAGAAATGGATATAGTAAAATATTTTTATAAGGTGAATGACTAAAACACTTAGAGAACCCACCCTAAAACTCAGTATTTAAAATACATGTTATGAAAAGTCAAGAGTTATATAGTAAATGGCACTCCCTACAGCATTTGGGGACTGGAGAGACCCCGGGAATCAAGAGCCTGGCTGCTCTTCCGGAGTACCCCAGTTAGGTTCTCCGGCCAGGTGCTTCAGAGCCACCAACTCCAGCTCCTGGGGATCTGGCACCCTCTGGCACTCACCATATGAATCTTATTGTAGACATCGGTTAGCCCATCTTTTACAATCAGGTCTTCAAGTTTGACCCCACCATACGGGGTTGCGCCTCTGCTCATTACATATGGGACATTTGACATGCTCTCCATCCCACCTGCCACCATCACATCCTGCTCGGCAGCAAGGAAAAGCCAAGGTCAGTTCAGAGTTGCCAATCTATTGCACTCTTACATATACAGCTGTCAACAAATGCATATCCAGTATGGCTTTACTAACCACGGTCACACAGCGAATGCCCTCTTTACCACCTGACCCTGATTAGAAGAAAACAGTTTCAAATGTTCAATGACAATTACGATTAAAGTTAGAAGTTGGGTATGGTGGGACCCATCTATAATCCTAGCACTTGGAAAACTGGGGCAGGAGGATCAGGAGTTCAAGTTCATTTCAGGTACATCGTGAGGTTGAGGCCAGCCTGGGCTAAATGAGACAATGTGAGGAAAAACACAAAACTTTATTCCTTTTATGCCTTCTATAACTGAAGTTTCTAGAGTGTGCACACACTGTTTGTATGATAAGGTCCCTGTCACAGTAGCTCAGACCTCAATGCACCCTCTTCTTATTCTCTGAAAGGGAGCACAGAAGTATGGTTTGGTCTTTTGTTTCCATTTTCTATATGTTATGTATATGACTGTTGTGGAATATCAGCTTAAGATGTGTTATATTTGCTTATGCTGTGGAATATTTGTTTAATGATGCAAAGATGTGTTGCATTCTTTTATGTTGCATTTGTTTAACTCTGTGGAGCTGTGTTACTGTGCCTGCTTAAAACACCTGATTGGTCTAATAAACAGCTGAATGGCCAATAGCAAGGCAGGAGAGAAATAAGTGGGGCTGCCAGGCAGAGAGAATAAATAGGAGGGGAAATCTAGGATGGCAGAGAGGAAAAAGAGGGAGGGACGAGAAAAGGAGGAGAGGAGGATGCCAGGGCTAGCCACACAACCAGCCACAGAGTAAGAAGGGAAGAAAAATATATAGAATAAAGAAGGGTAAAAAGCCCAGAGGCAAAATGTAGTTAAAGAGAAATGGGATGATTTAAGTTAGAAAAGCTGGCAAGAAACAAGCCAAGCTAAGGCCAGGCATTTATTTAGGAGCCGGGTAGAGTAAAAAAAACAAAAACAAAAACGCCAACTATATGAGTATTTTGCCTGCATATATGTGTACCACATACATGCCTGATACCCTAGAACTGGAGTGGAAATGATGTGAGCCGCCATCTGGGTGCTGGAAACTGAACACAGGTCCTCTAGAGGAGCAGCCAGTGCTCTTACCATTGAGCCATTTCTATAGCCCCATAAGAATGTTTTTTACATATGTGAGAAATAATGAGAAAACATGTCACACTGCCTTTTAGCTTGGTTGTGATACACAGTGGTAAACTAGCATGTCTAGAAATAAAGAAATTCTAATGAAGACCTCTGTTTTTCTCACTCTAGCCCTGTAACTTTCTATCTATGGCTACTTCAGTATCCTTCCATCTGAAAACTGAGGAAATGTTAGTTCTTAAGTCTAGACACAGCCAAAGAACAGCCTCTGAATGCCACAGCACACTCACTGAGCAGTCCCTCTTTTCCTCAGGCTTAGACAAAGATAAGATTTCAGTCAACAGGCCTCAAACTTGCAATCCTCCTGCTTCTGCCTCACAAATGCTAGAATTGGGCATGAGTTAAACAGGAAAGAATCTCAGGGCTCGAGTTCAGTTTCCAGCACCCACATCAGGCAGCTCACAACCACCTCTAACTCCAGCTCCAGGGGATCCAGCATCGTCTTCTGGATCTCTGTGAGTTCGAGGCCAGCCTGGTCTACAGAGCAAGATCCAGGACAGGCACCAAAGCTACACAGAGAAACCCTGTCTCAACCCCCCTCCCAAAAAAAGCCAAAAAACAAAAACAAAAGCAAAAAGCAAATGGGGGGGGGGGTTGAGAGATGGCCAATGGTTAGAAGCACCTGTTGGTCTTCCAAAGACCCAGGTTCAATTCCCAGCACCCACATGGTGGTTCAGAACCATCCAACAGGATATTCAATACTCTTTTCTGATCTCCATGGGCACCGGACATGCATGCAGGCAGAACACATAAAATAAAGTAAATAAATCTTTTTTTTTTTTTTTTGGTTTTTCGAGACAGGGTTTCTCTGTGTAGCTTTGCGCCTTTCCTGGAACTCGCTTTGGAGACCAGGCTGGCCTCGAACTCACAAAGATCCGCCTGGCTCTGCCTCCCGAGTGCTGGGATTAAAGGCGTGCGCCACCACCGCCCGGCAAATAAATCTTTTTAAAGGGAGTGGGAGGGAGGCTAGAAATGGGGCCCAGCAGTAAAGAGCATGTGTTGTTCTCCAGCGTTTGATACCCTGCACCCTCAGAGTGGCTCATAACTGTCTGTAACTCCAGTTCCAGCAGATCCAGTGCCCTCTTCTGGCCTCCGAACACCAGGCACACATGTGATTCACGGACATGCAGGTAAAACACTCATATTCATACAACAGAAATAAGAATGAATCTCACGGATGCAGCATAAATGTGCTTAGATGATTGGGATTTTCTAGGATTTGGAATTATTTTAAGTGACAGATGAAAGAAGATGTTTCTTACCTGATGCCCACACATGAGATTCTGAGAGGCCATCATGATGGCTTTCATTCCTGAAGCACAAACCTTGTTTACCGTGGTACACGGGGTAGAAATCGCTAAACCTAAATATAAATCATACTTTAGAAAAACAGAAACAGCCATTTTTCAAATACAGCTGTACAATTAAAACAGAGCACATGGCTCAGTCTACAAATTTTATTTTTCTGTAAGAGTCACGCATTTACTAACTTAGCTGAAATGAGCTTGACACTTCAAGACCATGAAGTATAAAAGCAAACGTGTGTTCACTGTACCTGCACCCAGTGCTGCCTGCCTTGTGGGGGCCTGCCCTTCACCGCCTTGGATGACATTGCCCATGTAGACTTCCTTCACTTCTTCCTTTGGGATCCCTTTTAAAAACAGCAGAAAGGAATGTCCTGGATTTATTCAATTTCTTTCTTTTCAAGATTTTTGTTTTTGTTTTTGTTTTTCGAGACAGGGTTTGTGTATGGAGTTTTGGAGCCTGTCCTGGATCTCGCTCTGTAGACCAGATTGGCTTCGAAGTCACAGAGATCCACTTGGCTCTGCCTCCCGAGTGCTGGGATTAAAGGTGTGCACCACCACCGCCCAGCTCTTTTTAAGATTTTATATATATATATATATATATTATGTATATGGGTGTTTTGCCTGTATGTATGTCTGTATACCATGTGCATGCAGGACCCAGGGAGGCCAGAAAAGGGCATAGGGTCATCTGGAATTGAAGTTGCAGACAGTTGTAAGCTGCTATGTGGGTGCTGGAAACTGAACCCAAGTCCTCTGGAAGAACAGCCACTCTTAATCACTGAGTAATCTCTCCAGCCCCAATATTCAATTTAATAATTAAGATTACCAAGCAAAGCTGGGTGTGGTGTCACACACCTTTAATCTCAGCACTCGGGAGGCAGAGGCAGGCAGATCCAGGACAGCTAGGACTGTTACACAGAGAAACCCTGTTTTGGGGGGAGGGGAGATTACCAAGCAAATTACATGACATGGGGCAGGAATTTCTTTTTCCTGTCAGTTTTGAGTTTCATTCCTACCAAGAACAAGGGAATTTAGATATGTAGGAACCGCGTAATTTCTGTTATACATACAGTAAATGCAAAACAATTGTGTCCCCCAATCATTTGCCCCCTCAACTCCAAACAATGCAGCCACTGACCTGCCTTTTCAATTGCTCCCTGAATTGCAATAGAACCAAGCTTGGTGGCTGGCTGAGAGGCCAGGCTGCCCAGGAAGGATCCAATGGGAGTTCGTATAGCGCTTACTATAACCACTTCCTGGCAGGGCAGAAAAAGGTAAAAATTAGCATAGGCATACTCAAATGCCATTTCATTTAATAAACATTCATATTCAGACGACTTATGAATCGTAAGTTAGCAAGGATTAAAATAATGTTTGAGCAGCTGGACAGCACCATGACACTCCACAATTTAAGTCACAGCAGAAAGGCAAGACTAGGGTCTAGCTCAGGGGTGGAGTGCTTGTTTATCCTTCACACAGCCCTGGGTTCAGTCCACAGTGGCCAGGGCACAGGATGCAGGGGGTGGACACAACAGAGGGAATGATCGAGGTGGAGGAGAAATGAAGGCAAATTCGAAAGCAGACATAAAAACCCTTCCCAGTTCTCTCTGGGAGGTTTAAGGCCAGAAGCTTAAGTTTTGCCTAGTCAAAGCCTTAAGAACTGGGGCAGTCAAGGTGGCTGAGCAGGTAGAGGACTTTCAATGCTCGCCTTACAACCCGAGTCTGATCTCAAGAAAAATGTCTGCAAGGCTGTCCTCTTACTTCCATCTGTATATGCACACATGAGAGTGCACACGTGCATACACACGTGCATGCATACATACATGCATACATACACACCATGCACGCACAAACCCCAGATAATAGAGTTTGGTTTCTTTGGGGAGCTTTTTGGTTTTCTTTCTGTTTGTTTTGTTTTGTTTTTATGACACGTAACTTTGGCCCGCATGGAACTTGATATGTAGTCTTGACTGCCAATGAAATCAGAGTTGCCTACCTCTGCCTCCTGAGTGCTAGGGTTAGAGGTGTACACCACCATACTCAACAATAACAAAGTTTTAAAACCAGTAACTTGGATACTGGGAACTAAATTCAGGTCCTGTGGAAGAGCAGCAAATGCTCTTAACCACTTAGCCATATCTCTAGTGCCATTCATAAAGCTTTTAAAATAAAAAACAAACAACACTACCCAAAAGCTCCTTTATTGACAAAACTCTGGGCTAACAATCCAGATGTGTAGGCTACATAGAATAGTATCAATTAGGACACAGCCAGAACCATATAAACTAGAAAATAAGGAAAGGTAGATAAAAGTCCTCATCAATACTATAAAACACATTTTCCTCACATTTGGATTCTACAATCTCCTACTAAACATTAGATGCATTAAAAGGATGAAAAGATTTGGTGTCACTTTGGGAACCTATAAACAAAGGCAGAAAGCAGTAACTAGGACATGAAGGAAAGGCCCTTCCGGTCTACCCCACGTAGTCAGTCCCTCTGTTGTCAAGTCTCCCACATGTCCACTGCACTACACCACCCACAATGCAATGCAGGCCCCTCATACTAAAGGAAGGTTTTTTTTTTTTTTTTTTAAAGATTTATTTATTTATTACATATACAGAAGAGGGCGCCAGATATCATTACAGATGGTTGTGAGCCACCATGTGGGTGCTGGGAATTGAACTCAGGACCTCTGTAAGAGCAGTCGGTGCTCTTAACCTCTGAGCCATCTCTCCAGCCCCCACTAAAGGAAGTTTTAAAGGAAGTTTTCTCCACAGTTTTAGAGGAGGACTGTTTTGTGGTGGATTATGGAGAATTATGGACTGAACGAACTTTTGTGATAATGCAGGAACTTAGTGTGTGCATTGTTAGCTTTCTCTAAACACTGCATAACCCTGTTAATTTTCAAATACATTCAAGATATAAATACATGCAACTGTGGTTTGGTCTGTTTGCTTGAGACAGGGCTGCTAATCCTCAGGCCTCTGGCTTCACCCTCCTGAGAGCGCAGACGGCAAGCATCAGCCACCATACCTAGCAACATGTGCAGCTCTACTGGCAATAGTCCTTTAAGTTCTTGAAACTATACAGTGCTATTTAAATTTATACTTACATTCAAAGTGGGTTTGGATGCATAACTTCGCTCCAGACATCTTACTTCCTGTAAAATAAATGTTTATGTTACAATATTTTAAAATTCATCCATTGATTTTATACTTAGCAATAAATAATAGAATTAAGATGATTTTCATTTTTACACTTTTGTTTTTAAGTTTTACACAATCTATATACACCACTTTTAAAAATCATAAGGAGGGGCTGGAGAGGTGGCTCAGAGGTTAAGAGCACTAGCTGTTCTTCCAGAGGTCCTGAGTTCAATTCCCAGCAACCACATGGTGGCTCACAACCATCTGTAATGAGATCTGGTGCCCTCTTCTGGCCGATACACATATATGCAGGCAGAACACTGTATACATAATAAATTAAAAAAAAAAAGAGAGAGAGAAAAACCTGGGGTTGGGGATTTTAGCTCAGTGGTTAAGCGCTTGCCTAGCAAGCGTAAGGCCCTGGGTTCAGTCTTCAGCTCTTCAAAAAAAAAAAAAAAGGAAAATGGTTATAATAAATATTTCTTTTTTGTAAGCTGTTCATTGGAAACATACATTTTAACTTCTGATGAATTGCCATTTTAAAACTTTATTTTTAATGTTATTTATTTTATGTGTATGGGCATTTTGTCTTCATGTATGTCTTTGTACCACATTCATGAAGCGTCAATGGAGGACAGAAGGCATCAGATCCCCTGGGACTGGAGATATAGATAGTTGTGAACTGCTGTATGGATGTTAGGAATTGAACTCAAGTCCTCTGCAAGAACAGCTAGAGCTCTTAACCACTGGGCTAGCTTTCTAGCCCTTAAAACTATGTAAGTAAACATAACAACAACAAAAAGGATTCCTAATTATAAAGTACATACTTACTACAATTTAGGGGTTTTGTTTGGTGGGTTTGTTTTGAGGGTTTTGTTTTTGGTTCTGAGACAAGATCTCACATGAACGAGCCTGGCTTCAAACTCACTGTATAGTGAAATATTTGAACTTCTGGTTCTCCTGCCTCTCCACTTCCCAAATGCTCAGCTTACAGGCTTGAGCCACACCTGGGTTTTTGGAGATGTGGATCAAACCCCAGCTCTGTGCATACCAGGCAGCCACTCTATCAGCTGAACTATATCTCTAGTGTTGGGCTACATGTTTGAAAAAGCACCTTCCTATACTGCCCAGGCTGACCTCAAATTCATTAGGACCCAGAGTAGCCTTGAACACACACTCCTCCTACCTCAGCCTCCCGAGTAAAATATAATTTAAGATACATTAACTTCTTAATTATGTAATCTTACAGGTTCACAGTTCTCATCGTTTAATTCTGAAGTATGCAGGGACAGTGGTGAAGAGGATACTCTTTGAGAGGACCCAGACTGTGTTCTAGCATGCACATTGGGTGGTTCACGACTACCTGACTCCAGTTCCAGGAGCTCCAACTTCCTCTTAGGGCTTTCATGGGCACCAGCACTTACATGGTACACACACACACACACACACACACACACACACACACACACACACACAATTTTTTTAAAAAAGACTAACTGTATGGGAAAAAAATTAAGTAAAACTTGCTATTATCCCCAAGACCTTCCAGCAAGGGTCTCTTGATCTACATACCTCATATCATATGGCCTATATTACCAGATCATTCTTAAGAAGTAAAAGAGGGGCTGGGGTACAGCTGAGTGGTAGAGTTGAGTGCTTGGCATGTGTGAGGTTCTAGTTGGTTGGTCCTCAGCACTCCACCCAAAGGAACAGAAAGAAAGACAGCTTAATTCTTTCCACACTATTTGTGGAAACAAATGTTAACAAAGGAAACATTCTGAAAATGTAGGGCAGAGTTCAAAGCCCTAACTGATCTGAAGTTGGACGTGAGGTCAGCAAGCCTAACATTCAAAAGCAGCAGCATATATTCCACTGATAGTTACAGTGTGCAGTTATAGCTCATGCAAAGAGCAATAAACAGACCACAAAAGTCTAGACTTGCAGGTGACCCAGGAATTTAGCTTTTCGCAGATTAAGCAAACACGCTGTCCTAACTGAATGCAGATAACTAAAACTTTCAACTTAAAACTCAGAATAAAACATAAGCTTGACAATGGAGTTATAAACAGGAACAGCCATGGTAACCAAACTGGTTTTCACAGTGTTTAAATGGCAGAAGTATATACAAATGGCAGCTTGACATGGCATACTTTTTGGAACAGCAGTGGCTGGCTCCACAGCAATGGTTTTTCTCAAGGAAAGTATGAGAGATTTTGACGGGGGAAGGCCATGCAATCAACTTTGCTATACAAACAACTTAGTCTGGATTTGATTTTAAAATGTTAACATCACAAAATTTCAATATATCTTCTGTTTTGAAGAGGTTTTCACAGTCTTTGTTGTGACCAACATGCATACAACTATTTGATCCTTCTTTGTTCAACAAAACACTTGAGCTTATTTACCTTAAGAAGGCATTATTGCTGGGCAATGGTGGCCTTTAATCCCAGCACTCAGGAGGCAAAGGCAGGCAGATCTCTGTGATCCAGCCTGGGCTACAGAGTGAGTTCCAGGAAAGGCTCCAAAGCTACATAGAGAAACCCTGTCTCAAAAAAACAAAAAAGGGGGGAAAAAAGGCATTATAAAGATTGAGATCTGTTACCATGGACTTTATACTCCAGCAGCTATACAAGCTTGTAGAGAAGTGTCAAAATTACCTGGACATATTCCTTAGAGTTTGATAAGAACAAGAACAGTACCATACATAAGCAAGCTAGCCCTGGGGTTCAAAGGAGAAAGAGTCCTTGGTTTGAGCAGTGGTCTTCAAATCCCACGCTCCACTGAAAAGCCTGTTTCACCCTACTGTTTAAATCTGATATTAGCACAATACATGATATTAGTTGCTAGTTAAGAAGGTACGTGTTTGTTTTTACTCTGAGCTTTACACAACCCCTTAAGTGACAGTGCACTCAGCCATGACCAGGAAACACATCTATGCTCAAGTAGGCAAGGCCCAAGCATCTGCTCAATGGCTGTCCTGCACAAACACACCCTCTACATATAAATCAGGGTATTGTTTACATGCAATCTGCTTGTCCACTATCACACTGTCTGCAGTACAGCTCGGAATAAAAGTTCTGATATGGTAAACACGCCAGTCATCGCCATCAGCTACACTCTTCCTCCGTAAGGGGCAACCTTAAGTCCCTACAAAACAACTCCATCACCAGCTCTGAGCAGAGCTCACGGCACCAAGAATGGACTAGACTTACCCTGGTTGGCACCCTGAGAGCCTGGGTCAGTTGACAATCAGTACTTAAGCTGAATCATTATGAGGGGCTGAAGCCAGTCAGACCTCAGTCAGCCAACACCATGTAAGAGCAGAGGTTAGAGCCCAGAGAGAAAAGCCACAAGCAAGTAGATTATGGAAGGAACAGCACAAACACACAAGAAACAGGCACGTGGCACATACTTCAAGAGGCGGCAGAGTCCACGGTCAGGGACTGTCTACTCAGGGTCCAGCAAGGCCAGCTGCACTGATTGCCTCTCTTTGAATGTCCAAGAATTTGTGTTATTATATCTCTTCATCAGTTCCCTCTCTGAATGGAGAGTGCACTTAGTGGTAGAGTGTGTGTCCCTCGCTCTAAGCCCAGTATCACCCCCAAATGATGCTCTTAGCTGCTGTAAAGTGGGGTCGTGTCCATCTTTACTCAGTCTTTTCTTGCAAGTGTCTGGTTCATTTTCACTGAAGGGTGCCTATGTGTCCACTGGGCTCTCACGCCACATGCATCCTTTCCTATGGTACATCATTTCTCCCTCTTCCTTCTGGATCATTCCCTACGCATGTAAATGCATTCTTGTCTGGCTTCTTTAGCCTGAAAAATTTAAATAAAAACATCTGCAGCCCACATTACAGTGGACTTTGACATTTCCCATATTGCCTGTAGTGTCTCCTTGCCCTTGTTACCTGTGATCTTTGCCAGTTTACCACTGTTGACTCCAAGCAAGGTCAACATTGTCTGTGCAGCAAAATCAAACACTTCAGGACTTTGCACAGTAGCCCAGTGAAATCCAGACAGGGCTACAGTTATCAATCTTGGGTTAAGAACTTTATGTTTAACTTTAAGCAGTCAGTCCTGTTTAGTAAGCACTTGTCCATATGCACATGCAAAGCTATTTTTTAATTTTTATTTATTTTGTTTTTTTGAGACAGGGCTCCTCTGTGTAGCCTTGGCTATCCTGGAACTCGCTCTGTAGACCAGGCTGGCCCCAAACTCACAGAGATCCACCTGCCCCTGCCTCTCAAGTACTGGGATTAAAGGCATATGCCACCACTGCCCAGTGTAAAGCTATTTTTATGAAACATATGCACACACAATAATAAGTGTGGACATTTACCCATGTATGTATGTGGCTCTAGTCACCACCCTGGGTATGTAACAGAAAACAATGGTATACCTTTATGGACTTGTATACACTGGCACTATCACTATCTGTACTTTTAAAAAATTATATTTATTTAAAAAAAATGAATGTTTAACTACAATCTTTTCAACCTCAACAACTCTGGACTCTCCTTTCTTCTTTGGGAAATATCAGTCTGTTTTATTGAGTATTTCACAGTAAATCATGCAGACTAACTTTACTTGGGGTCTTTGTTTTGTTTATTTGTGACAGGGTCTCACTTTGTAGCCTTGGCTGGACTGAAACTCACTATGTAGACCAGGCTGAACTCAAACTTAGTGTTTCTGCCTCCTGAGTGCTGGGATTAAAGGTGTGGGACACCATGTGCAGCTTCCCTTTTTTATTAAACATAGTGTGTGTGTGTGTGTGTGTGTGTGTGTGTGTGTGTGTGTGTTTGCATGCGTGCGCGCATTTATCATGGCACACATGTGTAAGTCATTGGGAGGTACCTGATTGAGGTAGCGCCTCTCTTGTTTCCGCCTATGTGGTTAGTCCAAGAACTTCGGGCAACTCTATCTCCGTCTCCCATCTCACGGGAGGAGTGCTAATTACAGAGGCGCATTACCACATCTAACGTGAGTCCAGGGATCTGAACTACGGTTGCCGCTTTACCCACTGAGCCATCTCTGGCCCGGCTGGTTTGTTTTTAGTCTTCATGTCTAAGCTCAAATGCCAAACCCTACAGGATCTTCTTTAATTACTTAATTAAGTTGGGCCACCAAGGATGCGAGCACACACCTGTAATTCCAGCATTAGGGAAGCAGAGGCAGGGGGATCCTGAGTCCAAAGCCAGCTGGGCTCCATAGCGAGTTCCAGGATAGCTTAAGTTACAGTAGGACCCTGTTTCTAGATAACACATAACAAAGTTGACCTGTATTGTTTGACTCTTTCTTATATTGACACCATCATTTCTTCCTTCAGAGTAACTTTTCCGTCTTAGAAGTATGTATTGAACACTGACATCAGCGCTTGCCCCTCCCCCAAACATAATGCCATCGCCCTGAGACCCGGATCGTGGTTCCGGGTCATGATGTTCCCAGCATCAAAATTCTGAAGAATGAACGACAGAATTCAGTGTGGTAGAACATGCCTGAGATCTCGGCACTTGGGAAGCCTGCAGGCCAAGTACAAGATGGAGGCCAACTCGGGCTACATAGTGAGACTGTCTGAAAATTAATAACAACTGAAGAAGGAACACTGAACATTATGTAATAAATATGTGCTAAATGAATAAAACCAGTCCAGGCAAGCACAGCTCAGCTGTACAGCCAACCCAGGAACCCTACCCAACCAGACCTGGCAGAGGAGGGACTTCTATTTTACCTCCATAGTATCCTACCCACGTTCTTCTCTTTTTAAGTTTATGTGTGTGTGCTTTTGTGTGCTCATGTTTTTAATGTGTACAATATGCCTGCCTGGTGCCCAAGAAATCAGAAGAGGGTGTCAGATCCCCAGAACAGAAGTTACAGATGGTTGTTAGCTACAATGTAGGTGCTGGGAACCAAACCCTTATCCTCCACAAAAGTTGCCACTGCTCTTAACCACTGAGCCATCTCCCTAGACCCTTTAAAAACGTCTTTAGATGTACTGTATTTGACCTATGCACTTTTTTTTTTTTTTTGGTTTTTCGAGACAGGGTTTCTCTGTGTAGCTTTGCGCCTTTCCTGGAACTCGCTTTGGAGACCAGGCTGGCCTCGAACTCACAGAGATCCGCCTGCCTCTGCCTCCCGAGTGCTGGGATTAAAGGCGTGCGCCACCACCGCCCGGCGACCTATGCACTTCTTATTGTTCCTCCAAGACATAACTGTTTAACCTGAGACGGCCCCACAGTCTTCCCACTACATGGTGAGTTACACGACATGATTTCCTTTACTTCTTATCTCCCCAAGGGCTGCAAGTGCTAAGCAAGCATCCGAACAAAGTCTGACATTCACTAACAAGGCTGAAAACCAAAATCCCAGTAATACCTTAAAAAAGCAGCAAAAACAGGAGGACCTTACAGGATGGTGGCAGAGCTGAGAAGCAGAGTCAGCCTTGGGAAGAACTAGGAAAAGAGCACGTGAGACTCAGGGAGCTGCCAGCCCATTATGAGAGGCAATCAGCCTACACTAAACTCAAGACGAGCATCGAGCAGCGGAGGGCAGGAGGGCAGCGGAGTGCAGGGCTCACAGGGAGACTGCTTGCTGAGGCCCTAAGTAGTAGCTACAGACATGGGAAAGGTCGGGATTCTGCCCATGCCATCCCCAGCCACTCACAGACGGCTTTCCCACGAACACTGCAGCCACAGCATAAAGAGCTGAATGGAGCAGGCTAGAAAATAGGGCAGGAGGGCAGCCGACGGCTAGTGAGGCTACTGTTATGGGGTACAGAGGGCTGGACACAAAGACCCGGAATACCTTTAAAGTTAGGAGCAGCCACGGGTACTGCTGGTCCCCTTTCACAGACAGGAATGTGAACCCTGGCAGACCCAGCACCTGAAGTCATGAAGCCAGGGAAGGCAAGTCCTATCAAGTCCTCTAGAGCCTCTAGTGTTGGCATCTGACCATTATAAATCTCTACCTTACTAAATAAAATAATAAGAGACACCTTAACAGCCTGAGGCACTGCCCTCCCCAAAGCACTGCATTGCTTGTTGACCAGTGATTATTTGCTTCTCTGGCCAAGACTGTCAACAATGACACTCATTTTTTTTTATTGCTTCTTTGTAGGTATAGGTATAACCAGAGACACAGAAAAAAAGAAAAACCACAGGTGAATTCTGCATGTTAAAATAACTGTAAGAGCCTGCCCAATATGCTAGACACGGCGGCACATTCCTGCAATCTCAGTGCTTGAGAAATGGAGGCAAAAGGACCAGAAGTTCAAGGGCAGCATGGGCTCCACGAGACGGGCGTTAAAAAGACAGACAGATAACCAGATCCAATAAAGTCCCATAAAGGTTTGTTGACCGTCTACAGGCTTGTGTGTATTTGAAAGCAAAGGTGAAGGAGCCCACGCAACGGGTAAAAGGTCGAATTCCTTTCCACAACACAGCAAGGAATATTGAAAATGCTTTTTAGAAAAGGATTTCGGTGGTTAAATAAATGGTTGCTTAATTTAAGTGACCTCCAACAGGTCATCTCTAGAGTTTAACAACGTGAACTGGGCTGGAGAACTTGGCTTGGATCCCAAACACGTGGTGGCACCTGACTGTTAATTCCAATACTCAAGACGCCGAGGCAGGAAGAGCATGCATTCTAGAGACCGTCTTAAAACCAACACCCGGCTTTTACGAAGGGGAGGGAAGCGCATAGCGTCTGCTACACAACCCACAGGTGGTAAAAGGAGCCCGGAACACAGGCAGCTGGGGGGCAGGGCGGGGACGGACGATGACGACAGGAATCAGTGCTGGGAAGAGAAGTCAGGACTGAGAGGGTAGGAGACTCACCGACCCTTACATTGCATTCGATGCTATGCAGCAATCCCTCCTTCAAACTCCTGTTCTATACCTGGATCCAGTGTTATTCTGGTTGCACTGTTCTGAGATAGGTTCTCACTATGCAGCGCAGGATAGATAGTCCCAAATTCACAATCCTTCTGCCTCAGCTTCTTCAGGGTGGAATGACATACAGATGGACTCCACTGTACTGGCTCAGGCTCATTATTCTCAGGCAGAATGTATTCTGCACTTGGTTATAAAATCTTAAGTGTAAACTAAGAAGGCGCTGCACACTTTTTGTTTTGACACACCTCAAGTACCTGGCTTATCTAATTCATCTACGCAACGTTATTCGGAATCTCAGGGAGCCTGATTTCACTATAATTTCTCCAGCCACCCCAATGAAACTAAGAAACTGATCAAGAACTCCTCTAGGCATGATGGCCTGCTCTTTCAACCACTGCTGTTTAATCCAGAGGCTGAAACAGGGGAACGAGGAGTTCCAAGTCAATCTGACCTATACAGCAAAACCAAGTGGACAGAGAGAAAAGAGAGAGAGGAGGAAGGAGAAAAGATAGAAGAGAGGATCAGGAGGCAAAAGACACTAGTGTCTTTCTTGGGAACACTTATTTTATAGGTGAGGACTGCTCATCTCCAGAATAGAAAATAAACTATCCTTCTGGCTTTCCTATTATCCCAGTCACTCGGGATTTTTTTTTTTTTTTTATCTTTTTGAGACTGGGTATCCCCAAACTGCCCACGTGGGTTGGAACCCTTGAGCTCAAGCTCCTCCTCTTGCCTCGGCCTGTGCAGGGGCTAGAACTGCAGGCACCAGCAACTCAAGTAAGATTAATTTTATAGTTCCTTTACCCTCAGCTTTCACCCTCACCCTCACGGCCTGCATTATTCTTTCGCAATCTCTTGCATAGCACTGCTCTCTTTCAGCTTCTATTGCCAGCACTACCCAGTTCCATGAACCCTGATTATTATAGAAACGAGACGTTAGCCATCCAGACCTAACTGCAGACTCTTAGAACGTAGGTGGACTTCAAAGCTTCCTATTGCATCCAAATTGGAAACGTCAAGCTTCACAACCACATTATGGAGTTTCTCACCCATTCCCAAGACTGTTAGGCATTTTCTGGAATGCAACATTTGCAAAAATAAATTCTTGCAAAGGTTTGTCACTATAGTGCTCCCCAAACAAAACAATCAGAAAAGAGGCAACAACCAGAAAACAGGCACTCGCTCCAAATATATTTTATTTCTTGTACTGTCTGAGTAGCCATCTTGTTAGCTTTTAAGGAGCGGCTGTATAGTATCATTTGATTATCACATAGTGCCGCAGTTCTGATAAGACCAATAATTAAACCAATGATTAGCTACCGGTTTAAAAAAAAAAAAGTTAAAGACAATAAACTCGGTAAGTATGCTTTAAAGAACGTCTACGAAACTCCTGGGCCTGTAAAGAGGCTCGGATCTCTGCAGCCTGAGATCGCGCCTGGCCAGGCCCAGGCCTCGCTGTCCCGGCCAGTGTGACAGCAGCACAGACAGACACGGGGACACACTGCCCCGAGCGCGCGTGGTGGGCGCTGACGCCGGCGAGCCCCATCCTCACCCCCAGGCGGCTCTGCCCGGGCCTTGCGGGAGGGCGGAACCTTGGACGGCCGGCGGCGGGCTCCCCCGGAATTGACCACGGCTCACCTGCAGCAGCCCGCGAAGCAGAGGCCGGCGGACGCCGCCGCGCAGAGCCGCCAGGGCAGCCATGGAGACGCGAAGGGCTGTCAAGGGCAGAGAAATGCACTGCGGCCTCCACTTTCCACCGCAGACCCCGCAACGTCGCGGCGGGCGCCGCCCCGGCCCTCTCCTCCAATAGCAGCCCGAGATCGCTGCGCTAGGCTGGGATTGGCCCGCAGCCAGGGGGCGGGACCTGGCACTAGTCTTCCAGGAGAAAACTGACAAATAACCAACGTGGTAATTACACCTGGCTAGTGCAATTTAAACCGCTTTTGACCTCTTGACGCTTGTCATTTCCGTAATGCTTAACACTTTCCATTCATTTAGCTGCGCCTGACCGTGTGACTGTGTCTACCCAGACAAAGGATATTGGTAAATGTTAATACAGATAAACCAATTACATACGTTAAGAAAATTTTGAAGCTGCTTTTCTGTAGGGTGCGAAATAAAATACATGTTACTATCTAACCTTCATTGAATAATAAGATTAAATCAACTTCCACAAAAACTCCCTGCAGGCTGGTTGTGGTGGCAAACACTCGGGAGACAGGTGGATTGGTGAGTGGTTCCAGACCAGCCTGATCCACATAGCAAGTTCCAGAATAATCAGAACTACAAACGGAAAACCTACCTCAGAAAAAAAAATTGAAGCAAAACAAACAAAAAACCCTCCACACATGAACTAATGCTGGTTAGATGATATTCTCACATTTGTGGAACCCTTTGCTGACATTAGGAGTTTGTTTTGCTTTGGGTTTCGTTTTAGACATGGTCTCACTATGTAGCTCTGGCTGTCCCGTAATTCACCATCCAGGCCAGGCCTGCCTTTGCCTCCCTAGTGCTAGGATTAAAATCATGTGCCACTAAGCCTAGCCTAGATTTTGAATCTTCAGCTGGGGATAGCAAACCTTTCTGACTTGTAACTTTAATTTTTCTTTATGTTAATTTCCATAAAAGTATGGCAACATACAACTTGAACAATTTACTTCAAGCCCACCTGTTTTGTGTATGTAGTTGTATGCACTCATGAGTCACTCAGGTGACTCCTGTGGCTCTCTGCATTGTTTTTGTTTGTTTTAGAGACAGGGTCTCTCTGGTAACAGCTCTGGCTGCCCTGGAACTTGCTTTGTAGCCCAGGCTGGCCTTGAACTCACAGAGATCCCTTTGTCTCTTCCTCTGGAGTGCTGGGATTAAAGGTGAGTGCCACCACTGCCTGGTTGTACCTTTTTTTTTTTTTTTAAGACAGGGTCGGTCTATCTTTGTACCTGGAGCTCACTAGAGTGACTGGCCAATGAGTCTGTCTCCACTCCTCCCCAGACTCCATCCATAGAACTGGGAATACAATCAAGGGCCACCATGCCTGACTTTTACATGGGTGCTGAGGATCTAAACTCCGATTCTCTTCCTTGTGAAGCAAGCACTTTGTACACTGAGTCATCTCAGCTCTTTTGGGGGTAAGGTGTGTGTATGTTCCTGCATTTGTGTGTAAGCACCATGTGCATGGAGGTGCCTGAGGAGGGCAGTAGAGGGCGTCAAACTCCTTGGAATTGAAGTTATAGGCAGTTGTAAACTGCCTGGTATGTTTCGGGAACTGAACCCAGGTCCTTTGTAAGAACATCAAGCATTCTTAACAGTTGAGCCATAATCCTCACTTATTTTTTTTTTTTAAGGCAGTCTCATGTAGCCCAGGATGGTCTTAAACCCAGTAGGTAGTCAAAGATGACCTTGAACTGCTAATCCTCCCACCTGCATAGTTAGATTGCTGGAGATACAGGTGGGTATCGAACCCAGAGCTTCATGTAATCTATGTATGATCTTCACATAATCTAGGCAAGTATTCTGCTAACTAAGCTCCATCTCCAACCTGTTTGTTGTGCGCTTGGTTGGTTGGTTTTGGGGTGTGTGTTATTATTGTCAGGGAAGGGATGAATGTCGCACAGTAAACATGTAGAGATCCGAGGAAAACCTGCAGTAGACTCTCCTTTCACAGCTGTGGGATCAGACTCAGGCTACAGGCTTGATAGCAAGCCACCTCACCACTGAGCCATCTGTGGTGCTCTAGAATACTGGCTCTCTTTATTTGTCCTTAGCCAGGCATGGTGGTGCACACCTTTAAGCGCAGCACTTGGGAAGCAGGGGTAGGCTTTAAGGATTTCTATGAGTTCAACGTCACACTGGTCTACAAAGCCAGTTTTTTGTCTCAAAAAATATTTCCCTTACTACTTCAATCTCATTGTTATGTTTACATCCTTTTCATTTAGTTTTGGTAGGTCATAGTCTATAAAATTTTCTAATTCAAGATTTTCTAATTTGCTGGCATATAGGCTTTCAAAGTGATCCTGATACTGGTGTCTGTTGTAAAATTCAGCTCTAGTTTTATTTATTTATTTATTTATTTATTTATTTATTTATTTATTTATTGGCCTTTTGGGTAATTCAGCTGGAGAGTTCATTCCTGTTCATTTTTCTACCAAAGAAATCCTGTGTTGATGGTCTTGAACTTACATGACAGTACTACCTCAGCCTCCCTTATATTGAGATTTCATTGATTTCTGCCCTGATCTATTTTTTCTGATGATTTTGTTATTGCTATTTTTCTAAGACCTTGAAGTTCACCAATATTTGAGACCTCTGATCTAAAAAAAAAATGTCATGTGTATGAGTGTTTTGCCTGCATGTATATCTATCCACCAAATGCCTGGTGGTCAGTAGGGGGAAAGGGGACCTTTGAAACCAGATCACCTGGGAATCAAACCCAGGACCTATGAAAAAGCAGCAAATGTTCTTAACTGGCGAGCCACAAGCCCCTCAAAATTTTGTGAATAAAAATATACGCCAGGTGTCGTGGCACACATATTTAATCCCAGCACTCAGAAGATGAGCAGATCTCTGTGAGTTCAAAGCCAAGCTCGTCTACATAGTGAATTTTAAAACAGCCAGGTCTATAAAGACCTTGTCTCAAAAAAAAAAAAAAAAAAAAAAAAACAGATTAATTTCTTAGTCTAGCCCACTAGATAGTACCAGGATTTTGTTCTGTGGGTAAAGGTGTTACAAATAATGGGCAGGTGTTCTATCCATAAATTCCATTTTCTGAAAAACTAAGTTTGTGTTATTACTTTGTGATCACACGTAATGCAGAGCATTTGTGGAGTCAGATGACAACTCTGTGGGGTGGATTTCCTTGTCTCACTTCTACACAGGTTGTGGGGACTGAACACGGATCACCAACCTTCACAAGTGTCTTTGCCTACTGAGCCACCTAGCTACTTCTTTAGTTCTGAGGTAGGTATCATGCAGCCCCTGCTGGATTCAACCTCCCTATATTACTAGGAAGACTCTGAGCTCATGGTTCTCCTGCATCCACTTCCCAAGTGCTGGGATTTGGGGCCACTATATACTGCCCTTCTGTTTTAAACCTGACAGTGACCTGTATTTATTCCTTGCAAACCCTGTCTTTCATAGTAGAAATGTCTATCCTACACCCATCCAGCTGTCTGAATGTTGCATGCCTCTAAGCTCCTTCCGGTCAGTATGATTGTGCTCTTAACAAGGAAGTTAGCCTCCAATTTAGCTCACTGTGGAGCTGTCTTCTCGGTGGTGGGGGTTTGTTTAGGATTAGAATGCTCACTAGGACAAAATGCTTGAGTTTTGAAAAGGGCTTGTGCAAGAAACTTAATATTTAAGCTTAATTAACTAATCTTGTTTTGGCTCAGGTGAACCTTATGCTTTTCTTTAACTTCAATTCCAAGTCACTACTCCTACACTCTCCCTATCTCAGTGAAAGTACTAGGTCAAGGTGCTTTTTAGCCTTTAGGGAGTCATGTATATTCATCCACCCAACTGTCATGTCTTATTTCTGGTGCTTACAGTGGCTACAATTTACTACCATACCCCCAAACATAACTAAGCGTTCTTCATTGAGAAAGTCTCACTATGCTGCCCACACTAGTCTTGAAATTCTGAGCTTCAACAACCAGCTACCTCATCCTCCCAAGTAGCAGCATTGCCAACAGAAACCATTTTCATTATTTTTAAAGACAGTAGCCCTGACTGGCCTGGAGCTTGCGAGTACACCAAGCTGATCTTGAACTCAGAGCCACGCCTGCCTCTGCCTCTGGAACACTGGGATTAAAGGCACATGACACTATTCCTAGTTTGCCAAAAATCTTAACTATTGTAAAACTTTTTATAGTAGAACACCAAGATTTTCTGGATGAAAGCATTTATATTACACTTTTATTTTGCAAGAAAATAAATTATACAACTTAAAAATAAAATCCAAAAAATTAAGCAGTTCATCAAAATATTTCAGCCTACTGCATACAGAAACTGCTACTGTGTAAAACTGTACAGTGTCATCTCAGTATGTAGTGGTGCACATTCAAAACTGTACAGACCATGAGGAACTCCAGACCACACATAGTGTAGATGACAGGAACGCCCTTGAACAAGGTTTCTTTCATAACTGTGACTTGAGAGAACTTGTGACAGCATCCCGGTCATTTACATGAAAACAGAAGAGCCAGCTTGAGTTTATGACAGCAAATCTTTCTGTAAACTAGCAAATATTCCTCCAAGATTGAGTCTGAAAAATTTGCCCTTGGAGCAGGGCTAATGATATCATATTCCATTTAATGAAGAGTAAAAATAAGAATAACATTTCATTTTTGGAGACTTTAATATTTATGCACAAATTAAGAGCAAGAGATTTAAATGATCAGGTTGATAAACCCAGGGACCTCCTCCAATAATTGTAAAAATTGGGCGACTTCAGAATTTGAGGATCCTTATAAAATTATCAGAACCATGATGGTCTAACATTTGTCTAGCTGTGAGCATCAAGTATGCTCTACATTTTCCACTGTGTGAATCTGTTTCTTGTCTCCTTACTCTGGCCATGAGATGGCACCAGGTTACCATTTATTAGATGAAAGTAATCAAAACTCTGAGCCTGCTACACTACTCATTTAAAAATGGCTCTTCATTGGTGGGTAGGAGGTGGGGCTTTTCTTCCCCTTACCTGTGCAATGCTTGGCCCTGCTTAGACAGCAAGAATGCAAGGTCTGCAGGGAAAGAGAGGTCAGACGGGGAACATTAATGGTGGTTCTGAACCTT